ACACACACACACACACACACACACACACACACACACACGAAGCCATCATAAAAACGAACTGAGTTTTGGGACCCGGTCTTTGGCTGGCAACGTCGCTCAGATCATACCAAGCCTTCCATCGCCTCTCCCGTCATCCCCAAGATGCGCGTGCAACAGCTCAGACGACGCGTGCTCGTCTCTGGAACATTCCAAGGAGGCATCCCACGAGGGAAAGCGTTCCGGCACTGGCCGGGTGGGTGACTACAAGGCATGTATTTGCTGCACTTGAGAGGAGACCGTAAGGTAATGGCCGAGAGTTGAGGAGGTAGAGGGGGGGACACAGGAGGGGAGGACGTGGAGAAAGGAGAGAGCCCGCCAGGCCCACTTCAAGGTCAGTGCCCAAGAGGGGCGGGCGGAGGCAGAGGGATCCAGACTGATGGCCACTTTCACGCCAGGGGAGCCGCAGGCCGGACGCCTGCCATCAGGGGTCAGTCCTGCCATCAGGGGTCAGCCCTCGCGGGTCACCCCTCACAGGGGTCAGTCACTCCCCCGCTGTGCCTGGCACAAACCCGGGGAGAAGAGCCGTGGTTCCCAGACACCAGATGGGAGACGAGGGGGCGGCTGCAGAGTCTGCAGGAAAGAGGTCACACGGCGTGCGAGCTAAGGAGCCTCACACCTGCCACCAGAAGCCGCCCCTGCCCGGCTGTCGGTAACACTGGCACAGATTTCTCCATCATCTTTGTCTGCTTTCGGAGAGCGTGGTGGTCTCGCGGCCTCCAGAGAAACCTCTCTTTTCTGGGTCTCTTCACGGGACACACAGCCCATGCTTCCCCCAGGGAGTGAGCGGCAGAACCTTCTCTGCTTCAGAAGGAAGCCATCGGCCGAGCAGGCACGCTGCAGACACGTCCGTGCTGGTGTGGCTCTAACACAGCCGCGCAGAGCCTGCGAGGTCCCCAGGGTGCCCACAGCCCTGACCGGGCCTCCCGCATCCAGGGAAGAAGGTCCTGGCGCCGCTCTCCCTCCCTCCCTAAAACAGAAAGGGTCTCTTTCCTCCTGGAGCTTCCTGTGACTCCAGTCCCCGTCACACGGTGGGGACCCGACAGAGAGGCGGCGGGAGCCCCGGACCCACCTGGCCCGCCCTGAGAGACCCACGGCCCCCTCGGCCCCCCCACTGTGGGAGCACCCCCTACTCCGTCCCACTGCTGAAGAAAAGGCTCCCAGATGGTCGCCAGTGACTGCCCGGGGTCACTGGCCAGCTCGTGAGGTCCTTCTCTGCATCCGCATGTGCACCCCACCCTCTCTCTCTCTCCTGCCCGTCCGCTTGGTCCTATGTCACAGGCCTGACACTCAGGAGTACGGACAGTCACCTTGGATTTAGCCATGTAACCCCAGGGACGCTTTGGCATGTGGATGGGGGGAGCATTCAAGGCAGAGGGTGGGTGGGGAGGTCGGGCAACCAGATTCTTCTAACTGCTAGTTCTAGAGCAGCGTGGAGTGGCTCTGGGTGCTGCTGATGTCATGCAGGGTCATCGGGTGGGGTGACAGCCAGTCACTGGCCCAGGAGAGTGGCGGGTACCCTCAGTCCTCCTGGGGGGGTGCCTCGGGCGACCTCCCGTGGCCTACTCAGCGGTCATCTGCTCGATGTGGTCGCTCAGCAGCTTGTACTGCTCTGCAAAAGAAAACAACGTTAATTCTCAGAAGAAAGACGTCGACACGGGCAGGGAGGTCCTGCCCCCCTCATCGACCAAGCAGGCTCTCGCCAGGAACGGCGAACACTGGCTTCTGAAGACGGGCAGGGCCACCGAGCCCTTGGCGGCCAGCACACTGCACGTCTGGCTCCTGGAAGGGGGCTTCTCGGAAAGCGGGTGCCTCTCCTTGTGGAAATGACGTTGAGGCCGGGGAAGGCACCGTGCTGCTGGACGAACGGCACCGGGGCACCCAGGCCCGAGTCCCACCCACCGCACAGCGCTGCCTGGCGGGCAGGGGCCAGTGTGCTTGCCCAGCCCCGTGGGGCTGATGACAACATTCCGGGACGTTCCAGGGAAGCACTGGGCATTCTCCTGCCTCCTCAGGCCACTCCTCTGTGGCCCCTTTAATTTGGTGCAGGATGGAGGGCTTTTGTTTTTGTTTTTGTTTTAAAGAATCCCGGGTGAATCCAAATTCGTCTAAGTACTTAAGTGGAAGGCTTTTTAGGCCGCGAGGGAAAGTTTTGGTAGCAGGTGGGATGACCCACAGAGGCTGTCTGCACTAGCGGATTAGGGGAGCGGACATGTAACGCAGCCTCTTTCGTTACAGAGGTCAGAGCTTCTAGAGAAACCTCGAGACCCCCTAAGCCCGCCCCCGCCTTCTCCGCCTGTCCCCATACCTCTCATGGCAGTGTGGCTCAAGAAACAAAACCGGGCATACGGTGGCCGCTTAGGGGAGGCAACTCGGGGTCGGAGCTTGGCCACGGTCAAGTTCAGAGTCCGAGCGCCAGGTTACGTCTTGGTCTTTGGCGCTGTTCGTAAACACTGAGCTGGTAAGCGCCCCCCGCC